TGCGTCGTGTCATGCCGTCGCCCGTCTTGTTGTGCTGTCTTTAGGTCCTTTTCTTGTAGCATTTTTTTTCCGTCTAGACGTCGCCCCTTCCGTCGCCGTCGTACTTTCGTGCGCTGCGTCGTATGTCGTGTCGTGCATCACGCCGCCTATTACGTCGCGTGAAGCACGACGCGACGCACGACACGACGCACGACGCGACGCGTCGTGTACTATCGCCCTTTGCTATGGTGTTTATAGAGGGCGCCTTTACTGTTTTCTTTCATTTCCGTCCCCCAGCCCGTGCTTGCAAAGTACATGCTATTTGCTCTCTGATGTTGATTTTTTCTTGTTTTTATCTCATCCATTCTTCGATTAGGATTAATTTCTGTCATGTTTTATTAAAAAACAAACTGAAAAAGAGCAAAAAGAGGATCCACATAATATAGGAACTGCTCTCTCGTAACAAGTGGAAACCCAGAATTCGTCACTATTTTAATTGCCCAATCAATGATTTCTTTGCAATACTGTCGATAAAGTTCCCATTTGTGGTAGACTTGTAATCTTATAGAAACCGGTGTTTCTCTGTGGTCCAGCCCAGTAATTTCTAAGTGGTACTCCGAGTTCTCCAGACAATTCGTTTACAATTGTATGGTCGCAAGTTTGACCACGGATTTAGGAAGTTCCCACCAAGCCTGCTCTATAATACCCTCAGAATATTCCGTCATAGTCTTCCTTCAGGTCAGTCTCTCTCGTTAGCTTCATCAGCACCACACTTTCAGTGATATTAGTCCGTGTTTCTGAATACAACATTGTGACGCATCATTGTTATTATTGTGACGGTCTCTTTTCTCCAACTCTGTTTGGCCACGCCCATAATTTCTCATCAGATCTGCAGCGCGTGTTACATAATAGAAAGCACGTAACAATGATTGATGTATGGTATATTAGAATGGATTTACAAATAATTATTAGAAAGATTAATAATACGGTAAAACAAACATCGCACTCGCTAAACGAAGTCTCGTGCAAGTCTATTTCGATCATGAAATGAATTCTGCCCTCGTGGGGCATGATGCCGGATCGTTTTTTACCGTAGAGGCGATCGATCGGCATCGGCCAAGGCAAGTGGCCAAAGCACGTACGCGATCTGGCGCTGGCGCGGGGCGCTTGCACCACATTTTAATGCATAGGCCACCAGTCTTGCGCGTATAATCGTGATTTTGAAACGTTTGGGCAAACAATGGGCGGAACCAGGGGGAAACGGAAGGGTATTGTGCGACAAGCGCCCCCTACGTTCAAACTCTTCTCATCCAGTATTGTGCGTGATGCATATCACGTTTCTTAGCTCTGTGAAGATGGACCACGATGTGTCTTTTAAATGACAAACAGCGGGCAATGTTTTTATTGATTATTTCAAGTGCGACTCCAAGTGTTTTAAACCCGTAGTATAATTGTACTTCTTATATGGGACTTTCATTTATATCAGAAAAGGTAATTTTCGAGATGAAAATTGTCTTTAGGATAAATATTTTGTTTCATTTTGTTTACCTGCCCATGTTTCTCTGGCATTGGTCGGTTGTGCTTGTTTCTCCACGCACTGTAAGTTTTGATCGAACGCAAAGAATGTTTTTACTTTACACGTAACAATGTCAGTGGACAAAATTTGAATGGGACGCTCACTCGTTTGTTTTATAACGTTGTTGAAAAAATGGTCATGTTGAAGGGAAGGATTCCCTTTAAACGATTACAGTCTGAAGATGAGATTATATATATCAGGTTTTGCCCTTACCCAACGTATATTAACNAAAAACCTCATAAGCTTACTCGGGTGGGACTCGAACCCATGACCACGACTGAAGGTGAGACGTTTACACATGAATTTCAGGAAAAATCTCTATGTTGATGGTGGGAGTTTTACAAAATAAATCGTTGTTATGCATGGATTTTAGGGGTGTTAATTTGAGGAGATCACGGTGCAGCGTGTGCATTATAAGCGTGTTTGCGTGAAGGATTCACAGCAGGATTGGAAAGCCAAAATGCAAATCTTTTTCTAGAATCTCCATGAAACAAAGGGCTGATGAACACATTGAAAATAGTGCAAGTGCTTCAATAATCCTTGTAGATAATAGAAACGCTGGAGATTGTAGCTTTAAATGAAAGAGTTCCTTATGAACATCCCCTTTAATGAATGGACTAGGCTCACATACCGTTGAACGCACGCGCAAACCCCTTCCGTCCCCCTGCATGGGTCCGGTCAACCTCAACTCCATGCATGGGCTTCGTGCGCGGTCGTGTAAAATGCGAAAATGACGCTGACCGGCTATTCAGGATGAATAAACATAAACGTAAAGTCGGTCGCGCGCGTCACGTACGCGTAAATCTGCGTCGCCCGTAAACACACTGACTAAACTCCTAATTTAAGTATCTAAAATAGTAGGATATTTAAATTATACAATACTGGGGTTAGATCGCGCAAGGCATGATGGGAACCAACATAGCGCGGCAGGATTGTGCCCATGGGAACGAGGTTGGGGTTCAGTATCGCCCAATGTCCACGTGACCAAGACTGGAGGAATTCCTCCAGTTTTCCGAAAATAGCCAAAATATTCCGAAGTCGTCCGGTCTATTTTCGGCATGTTCGGATGGTACCGTTGAAGTTCGGTTATTCCCGGCCGGGTAGGTTGGCTAGCTGTTGAAAGTAAATTCCCGTAGCCTAATGGCAACTGTTGATCCTACGATATTTGATTTTATACACTGAAATCAATGGTCGCCTTGGCCAAAATGCAAAATAACTTTCTTCGACCAATGCAGGCTTTGTGCCTGAAACATGTTCTCAGTGGGGATACACTTGCAGTATTGCCCACTGGATATAAGAAAAGCCTCATTTTTTAGATGTTGCCACTGATGAATTCGAAAACACTCAGGCTCTCAACGTGTGACCCTGACCCTTGCGTCATATCTATTTATGTCCGTTGGCGATGCCTGACCTAAACTATTTTACTGGCAAGAGTTGTCAAGGAATCTTTGGGCAGGGAACCAGACTAAGGTGGAACCATGCGTCTTTCTATCGCCAATTGTAAACCCAGCAAGAAATGAGACCGAGGGGTACCCCCCCAACATGTCCAATCCCTATACACACTNTGGCCAATTGGGGGCACTTCAGCTCAGGGCGGATTACTAGATACCAAAAATTCATCGAAGAATAGTTTTTCTCAGTCTCTATTACATGAGCACATTTCTACATTCCAATCGCTTTTGAAAAACACATACCTGACTGTTTGAGGCTAGTTTCAATTTCTTTACCACAAAATAGATCTTAGTTATCTTGTCAAACCAAGAACGGCCACCCATCACTTAATTTCATTGCCGGCGGTATTCCAGCTACAAAGCAGGCCCAAACAGAGTGTCTCTAACGTAAGACGGCAACTCGCAGCTCGGCAGACGGCATAGAGATAGCGAATCGACAGTTTTGAAAATTGTCCATAGGCTGTTAATCCCTCCCCTCCTGTTGTACCTTTTGTACACATACATTCGTGAAAAAAATAAACAAGGACGATCCTTATGTGAACTGCAGAACTTCAGATATAATTATAAGCAACCGTTAAGATGCGAAGCTCGAGTGTCTCCAGGTACTGATCGTCATGATTTGGGGGTGTGGATTGGCAAAGGTCCATTGAGTGGATAATCGACGGAATTGTGGCCCAAAGAATATAGAAAAGTGATCCATATTTTGTCTGTTGAAAGTGACCTAAAGTTTGTCTGTTGCCAAATATTTCCAAGAGGATGACTCGCCGTCTCCACGTTGAAATTCAGAAAAAAAGTGAACCATACTTTGCCCAGTTTCTTGGAAGAAGTTACCTTCTTACCCGCTCGGAAAACCTTCCAAAAAGTGTGTGTTGAGGGTGCATTTCTTTAAATCCTGTTTCGTAGACTGTACAAAATAACTTCAAGGTCAAGCGACACTCCCTGACTCAAGGATATAGTTCGGCCAACACCACCCGCACGACTGATAAATTTGACCATCTTGTTTGGATCATCTAGGGCAGGGGTTATCAATAACTGTGGCTTAGTCAATTTAATTTATCAGCACCAAGGGAACAGTAATATAACAAATATTGTCCGAAATGCCATTGACCGCGAGGGTTGCAGCCAACGGCGACATGTGTGACGATGAGATAGGCCCTATGCGCATTATTCAGACTATACGTTTGCGCGCCAAATTAGCACTGGGTAAACGGGTTGAAGTCAGTGTTTCTTGTCAACCGTCATTTAAATGGGGAAAGTTGAATTTGGTTGATCAGAGCCCCTACTATTTTTTTGTTTTCTACAAAAAATGTGCACATCACTGGAGAAAACACTTGTATTTACAACTGTCTTGTAACTGTAAAGGTGTCAAACGTTCTTTTGATGGCATTTTCCTCACTGGAATTTTTAAGAAAGATGAACGTTTAATTAAAAATGATAAGCACTGTATACGTAGGTCCTCAAAAACTTGCCTGATGAGTTCGTACTTCTACTAGCTTAGATTATAGAAACATGTGACAAACATTATATTACATCTTTAAGATAACCTCCATAACTTCTCAAATGTTGCTCAAGTTATCTTGACCTTTCTGGTGTGACAAGAGGAAGGCCTTGGGAAGATGCAAGCTAAAAAGAAGGTTGGTAATTTGTACTGAGTGTCATGCATACAGGTACTTCACTTTAGGGCTAATAGCCTAGTTTCCAGCCATCATAAAAACGACCTGTACCAAAGCTGGACAAGTGTCCACATCGCGTAGCTTGGTAGGCCCAATTTGTTTTTACACCACATTCACACTGGCGAAACCCGACTTGAATAAAGGCTATAACAGTAGAGCTGGCTGGGGAAAACATTTTGGCGAGACGTAAGGACTAGTCTCCTCTCAACAAAGGCAATAAACGATTTAGAAAAGCACTTCATGTATAGACGGCTTCAATAAAACCACAAGGCCGGGATATGCGCGGCTGGGGTCTGCAACAGCAGGAAGGCTCACCTCCTGTAACAGCACCAGTAACGTGTACGCCGCGAGAAATGCCTGCGTGCTAGCCTGTGATTTACATAACAAAAGCGTTGAAACATAACAAAAAACCAAGGGTGAAACCCCTCGTCCGGCTCGGTGATCTTGAAAGGATGGATTGACCCTTTTTTACTGCTCATGCACACATATGCTCATTTGAACCGCAAGCGGTTGTGTGGAATGGTTGCGTTTTAGTCCTCTCAGCTGTGCCAGGTACCATTTTCCGCTTTTGAGCTGGATGGCTAGTCTCACGCGCTGGTAACAGTATCAAACAAACAGGTTGATTTGAGTTTGAGAAACGTCAGGAGCACAATATGGGAAAGAGGGACCAAGTCATTGAGTACCCTACCAGATCTGTAAGTAACTAACGTCAGGCCCCTATTTGAGTTTTGAAATGTCGGCCATTAATAACAGTAATTAAAGTACTAGTACATGTGTGTCTTCGCTCCATGTAAGCAGTCCCCTGAGGATCTCTGGATGGTAGATGTTGGCAGATATAGCTGGAACTCAAGTCTTTTTGTATAAACAGTGTATTCTGACACGTTACTGGATGTATTTTGTGTGTGATTTTGATTCAATTTTATGTATTCACAGCTTTTAACAGATTTAAATTTTAAGAGAACATGAATTTAAGTTATTGGTCTGTTTTTAAAAATTAAGCCTTCAACATACTTTCTTTCTTCCCATTATTTAACTTATTTTGTACATTTTTCTTTGTCAATTATAAACGGTGATTGCTTGGCGTGGAGGGGTCCATACTTGGAACCACAATGGAAATAAACCTTTACTTGCAATATCCATACTTTTTCCACCAATGTAGATTCTAAATTCTATGGACTGATTAATTTACAGTTTAGATACTATTTTATTCGTTTCACCTTTGTAACTAGGTTTTGATCACACTGTGCAAAGGTGAATACATCAAATCAAAATCAGAAGTACATATAATGATATAGTCATTTCATCTGAAATTCTCAGTAGTTATGTTTCAAAAATTGAAACTGCTTGGATTTTACTGAGATTGGTATCATTAGAAAGGTCTTTGGAGCTTTCCAGTGATTCCAAGATAATTTTTGTGACAAAAAGCAGAGGAGTTATGGCAATCTTAATATCGCTAATTTCAGCCAATTGGCATTCATATTTGTAATGCAGTAGACAATACATTCAGGAGGCTTGGTTGTGACCCATTTCTGGGGTCAAGAAAAACAATCATTACTTGTTATTTACCAACCAATCTCTTCAAACTTGGTAGCATTGGAAAGCTTATTAATAGACAAATTGATATGTGATGATATGAAATAAATATTAATTATTAATTTTTATTTCAGACTATTAATTTATTGATTACATATATTGTCCAAAATAATGGTTTAAACAATAAACAAAATTTGATGTGATCAACCTGAAAAAGTGGGCGTGACATATTCTCTAAGCATCTGGAATTCAAACTGTTTTCATCGTTTTCTGTAAGAAATATCTATTAGTGACTTCAAACAATGTAATTTACGAACTATTTTTAAAGGAATTGAATAGGCCAGTTATCCAAAATAAGTCGGCAATAGTAATCCAACTCCAAATGAGACTAAGTGCCATTATAGAGGGATTCTGGCATATGGATTCCCTGATGCCATGATTTGAGCTTTGGGCTGGTGATCGTCAAGCTAGGGCAAACCCAGGTTTATAGTCGGGATGAATTCCATATCTTACAGTTTTGAGTGCTTATGACACAAAGTTTAAACAGTGGAGCCTGTTAACTTTAGGGGGACTTTAGCAAAGGTATTAAGTATCAAGGCGGTACAGGTTTAAAAGTTACAGGGACAAGGGTATTTTGTTGGTGTTTACGACACTCAGAAATTGAGGTGGTCCAATGTGGAACTCGGTACCTTACAGTTTCTTCACTTTCAGTCAAATAACTTTAATTGTTTATCATTGTGTATCTTACATAAAGGCCTACAAAACTGTTCCTTCATACAACTTAGGACACAAAATCAAGAAACAATCAACCGAAGTAGTTTTACCCAGTTTTATACAGTGAAAGGACAGTGGTTTTACTACTTCAGTGCCCTCCCCCTCAGAAGCCCGTAAAAAGGGCCCAGAATGTAGCCTCACTCCTCGGAACATAAAGTTTACATTTACAAATACTTGAATCCCCTCTCCCAGCAAACAGTTTTTCACCTACGCCCCAAAATATTTGATTCTTGATCTGTCCCTTACATTATTCATGTACATCTGTAGGTCTGGTTAGAAAAAAAAAAATCACATGACGCCCCCTCCTTGCAGTACTGTGGATATCGCAGCACAGGAGTAACTACGGATGCACATTTAGCTGTACTCAAATCAAAACACAAATGTTTGGTGCCACTTAGCGTCATAAAACTATAACAACGACAGCAGCATGTAAAAATCTTGACCTTTGAAACTTCTTGGTTATTGCGCCTCCCCTTGTCTAGTATGCTGTCGTCAGGGTCTTGTGTGCTTTGGTATTGTATACAAAGTCATATCACTCCTGGCAATTATTCAAGTTGCACTTGGTGAAACTGAAGTGGAACCCAGTTGATGCACCAACAGGGTCGGTGTGATGGAAAAATCCACTTGTAAAGTGTTGAGCAAATACTGTCACGAATTGGCACGCTCATCAGCAGGTCTCTTTCTCAAGTCATAAACAGACTGAATCTTTTTTCCTTGGAAAATAAAGCCAGGTGTTGAACTATGATGTACATGTACGCACTGGAAAAACAATTGAATGCATCTTACAGCTTCATATCTTGTAATAGTGTTTCCATGTGTGACATTTGAAAAATTGCTCCAAAGAATGGATCTTGAATTTCAGCAGCAGGTTTCATGAATGATTACCATTGCAAAATTTTTATCTGGTAAAAATTTCAAGATGGCAAATACGTGTAGACTGTGTGTACATGTGGCAGTAGAAAACAGATCTACGTATACATGTACATGTATGTATACTAAATACATATCAAAAGAAATGTGTAGGCAATTTTATTATGGCACTAAACCAGCAAACTATCGTAAGCATTTCAATCACTGAGATAATTCACTGATTCGCCACATTGAATTTCACTAAAAAGTCAATTCAGCAAACTAAGGCCCAAACATTTCCATGTTTGAGAGCGTGCTATGATGATCCAATGCTCTTTATGCAGCCAGAAATCAAGTCTTTCTTTCTGTGATTTGGCATTGTTGTTTGTTAGAATATTCAAATCAAGTGATTGTTTGAAAGGAAGCAATTCAGGTTTTGTGCCAGAAATCACATGGGTCAAGTTTCGAGGCAGCAGCAAACCACATGGTAGATGCCTTAGTGTTGCCTCAAATTACTCCCTTCTTTGTCAGCTTGGACTCAACCAAACAGCAGTTGGGAATATTAACAGAAAGGTAATACTGACTTCAACAAAGGCTTTGTGATGTGAACACCCATCTAGGATTCTACCTTCAACACCAAGTGGTGATGCCTCATTACAACTGGAGGAGTAAATTACATCTGCATGAGAGCAGTCTTATGTCCTAGCCTGCTAGTGCATGGACACTGTAATTCAATCTAGATACACCTCGGAACCGTTACTGTCCTCATAGTGCCTCCTTATATGTACTTGTACATGGATACATATAAGTTACAACTGTCCTACACTTTGACAACAGTGAGAGCAAACCTTACATAGTCTATGAGGCCCAAGTCATCCCCCCTCTGTCTTTCTGTTTTGTTGGAACCCTAATTTACAATTGTATTGCTATCTTGAAGGGAAAAGTACACACCAGACATATTGAAACTTAACAAAATATTGTCTTTGAGCTATGTAGCAGTAGGCACTATCAGCACGACCCTTGTTAATATTTGTCGTATTACCCATACCGCATTTGTTCATGTGTCCATGTGCATATCATGGGCATTGATTGAATTTCACCATGAATGAATGGCAATCATACGCCATACCTTGTCTTGAATAGAAACTGTTGTTATTTTAGCCGTGAGATCATTGGCGCATGGTATAATGTGCATGATGCATGTACATGTATGTACATATGACAGTGCACATGTACATGTTAATGTGCAAAAATTGGACATGCTTTTGCTGTGTGGTCAGCATTCACAAAACATCCATGAAAGTTTCATTACACGGCTTTGTGACTTTTACTAGATACTATCATTTTGTGGACATTGTAGATGAGTGACAAAAGATAACGATGCTAAATGCGTAATTTCTAGTTGTTTCCTATTAAGGACCTTTTTTGTCAACTCAGCTTTGCTGTACTGGTACATGTACATCATGGACTTCATCTTGAGCTCCCCAGTCAGTTTCATTTACATGTTATTTGATGTCACATGTGACATTTTGAAGCCAAAAATTGACCTTCTTTGTGCTTCACCAATTCATGGACTAAAGTTTTATCACACTAAAGCCTGACATCACAGACGAAGATACTCGTGATACCCAGATTTAGAGAACAGTCCTTACAGTTTAGGTTATGAGCCTCTCTGAGTTTTCCCATTGTTTCTGTCTCCAAATAATTAACTTATCCATCTATTGCTTGTTCAAAAGGATTGTTTTGTTTTCAGTTATATTGCTGATTTTTCCCTTTTTAATTGTGCACTGGGAAAATGATAACGAGCACTTTTCAACTTGGGGCGTATTAAATTTATACCAGGAATTGAGGGGATAGGGGATTGTGGGGAATATGACTTGCCCAGCAATGGAAATTTGAAAAGCAGTGCGGATACCATATTCGTCACTGTTTTCATGAAGAGACACTTTGGCCCCAAATCACAATTGTATAAATTTCTGGGTTTTTTTGCAAAATCAACTGGGCTATGCGGTGCCTACAACTTTGTGTAATCGTTTTTAGCCAAATCTAGTGAAATCAGCCAAATCACAATGATCTCCCTATGGCAAACCCAGCTATACTGCATTTTGTTTTTTCATGAAGAGACGAATTTGTCTTCCATAGTAATGAGACATGCTCATCTATACGTACTAATGTTTTTTGGTCTGGTCATCTAAAATGACATTATCATATGGGAGAACAATTCACCTGTTGAGATATGGATGTTAAAAACTTGCAAATATGAAATATGCCCAAATCCATAACTTGCAGTTGTTGAAGTTTTTTAAAGTAGGAACTTAGAAATAGAAGAAGAGGTAATTCAGAAAAACATTTGTCGCAGTGTCTGTCCACTGAGTGACATGTGAAACATGCTGACTTTGCTATTCTTTCAGTAGTAACATTAACTTGCTTAGAACACTTCAAACCTTAATTCTTTACATCCTTTATGTGGCTTCTCACTCTGTCAAAGCAAACATGGATCTGATTTGAAGAAATGCAAAATTGCCGGCCACTACTTGGT